AATAAATAGTAATCAGAAGGCGCAATGTCTGGAAAGTACGGCGGTGGGGTAGGACTTCCCATTTCAGCGTTTTCAGGTATGTTTTGACCGGTGACACGACATGCGGCCGAGCGTTATCATGCAGCAAAATCACCTTATCGTGTCTTTGCTCATATTGCGGCCGTTTTTCTTTCAATGCTCGGCTCAAACGCATTAATTGTCGTCGATAGAGATCTCCTGTGATGGTTTGGTTGGGTTGGAGTAGCTCGTAATACACTACCCCCAGCTGATCCCACCAAATGCAGAGCATGAGCTTGGAACCGTGGATATTCCGCTTTGATGCTACTGCTTCGCCGGGCTTTAACACTACCTTATGGGGTCTAAATCAAGGTTCATTTTCTCGAATTTATTGTGGAAAGGCAAAACAATTTATTGAAATTCAGTTTTTTAAACATCATTATCTCTTATAGTATATAAAAAAATTTTTTTTAAGTCATTTAAAAACAAAATGGCAGCACAACATCTATCGGAATGAAACATCTTTTTTTTTATGACCTCCCTGGCCGTAAACCTACAGGTCGCAATTGTGCATCTAGAATAAAAAACAAAAGATTTTGAAATTATATCAAAAAATCTAGTGAACGCCTGTAGAACTTTTCAAAATATTGATTTTGTTAAAAATGGCGTCAGTTTAAAAAAAGAAACACATTTTTACGGAAAAAATCGGTCGAAAATCGGCTATAAAGTCAGTAAATTTTTATAAATCAAAAGGTTCTACGGGCGTGCACTAGAAAATTTAATTTTTTAGCTACAGTTAAAATTTCCAGTCGATTGGTTGAAAATTGTAGGCGCTACATTTACGGCCAGCTCGAAAAACATGGTTTCGAGTAAAACGCGTTTAAAGTTTCAAGTACATATATTTCAATGTAATTTTTTATTTACCATTAATCGGCGATGCCTGGACCATACAATTGTCCTTCTAAATTAAGATTTTTGTGCTCCTCATCCTTCCTTGACGATAATGATGTTGAGCGAGCTTCTCTCGCCTCTACGGACAGGGAACGCTCTGATTGCGCGATGCGCGCGGCGTTGGCTTCCGAGCAGAAATTGTAGCAACTCAGTCCGATTGAAATGCCCATTTGCTTCATAACTTGCATAATTCCGAAAAATCCATCGTTGAAATATAAAACTGCGAGATTCACAGCAATATTGAGTACAGATTTGCCGCTGGAACTTGACTTGGGAGCCATCGAGCGAGTTTAAACTTTCGTTTGAGTTCTGTGTGAACCCGCCCAAGCAACGCGATAGCAAATCATCCCTACTCAGTTCTTCATACACAGGCTTGATAGCTTTAAAAACTTCATCGCTCATTGGTGGATTATGTTTGAACTCGTTGGTGTTTCCCATGATTGCTTTCTGTAGCTGCCAAGCACACCACGACTTCGGGCCTTCCGGGCAAAAATGATGTTGTGGCTTCTCATCGGTAGAAATTTTGTGATAGAGTGTTGCCCAAATGGCTTTCTTCATGTCCTCGATTGAGTTACAGTGTCTACGGATAGCCAATCCGTAGTAAATACTTAATTCGTCTATTAATTTGCCCGTTAATTTACCTCTACCGCTCAATCCTTTTGTATTATTCACCAATTTTCGAAGCCTGGTGCCCATTCTTTTCTGAACGTGATCAATACATTCTTTTTTTTTGACATTTGGATTCTGCTCAATAATAGCCTTGAAAGTCTTACAATCACCATCACCTATGTAATTAATATAAGAAACACCATTCTTTTCATCCGCGCGAGCAAACATCTCAGTCGCGGCGTCTACTTCCATTTTTCCTGCTGATCCCTCGTGATTCGCCTTGCACGTCGACTCATGATTTTTCTTCCACTCTTCGTACTCAGCTGTGTTTTCTTTTGATTTCCAGTGCAAGCATGTTTTACAAAACTTACTTTTTACCAAAACGTCAACAACTTTCCCACTGAACCATCCAATAAGCGAAACGACTCCGAATAGTGACGAAAAACCTCGACGACGCCACGAGCCATCACCTGAGACTGTAATACCGTTGTTTTCGCCTTTTTCTACAGATTTTATTTTCTCTTGTTGCGCAGCATTTTCCACGGAAAAAAAACAAACAGACTCGGATACCTCGCGGAAAGTTTTGATGATTTCATCGTAGCTTTTTTGAAATATTGGTTGAGGCAAATCCATAAACGCACAGAACTTTTTTATTCCATTTAAACCGATTCCCAACAAACGCATTGCCAAAACCATTCGTCTATTTACTTTATACGCTTTATTATTAATTTTTGGGCAACTATTTATGTGCACTGGTTCACACGCCTCACAGCTTATAACGATTTTGAAGCCCAAGCCTTGTTTGTTTGCTTCAGTGAATTTCACTGGCTTGTGGCACGTATGGCACACCAACACTTCCGATAGAGCAGAGAAAACTGATGCGAAACATAGTAAACGATAGCCAAAGTGCTATCGTAATCAATATAATACTCATTTTTCAATAACTTCAACTTTTTAGAGGACGTGCCAACGCTTTCAGCCGACTGCTCTAGCAGATATCGGTTTTTCGGGGTGCCGCCTCTCACATCTTTTCTTCTCACTGTTGCTTGGCTACTTTTCGTTCCTTTGCGTGATTTTCTGTCACTTGTATACATTTTTGATCAAAATTATCGAATAAAAACTCAACAGAACCAAGAAACACGTGCTTCTTACGAGAGCAAGCAAAACACTACTTCTAATGGTTTTTCTGGCGTCAGCTGTTGTCCTAGCTTGAAAATTTGAGTAGTAGAGACATCTAATGGTTTCATTTTCAAGTTTTATCCTAGTGATGTAAGTATAATATGTTTACGAAGGAATAGTGACCCCTATTGTACCGTTATGGAACGCGCCCTAATTACTCGTTAAATAGCACCGTGACTTTACTCGGAAAACCGAATTTTTCGGCCACTTTAAAAATTTTCCTCCATATAAAATGTTTTGGGCATCATTTTTGGATAGTTAAGGAAGAATTTAAGCCAATAAAAAAAAATGGTTAAAAAAAATTTACAAGGTAGTGTTACCCCTTAACCCATGATTTTTTACGCTTGGGATTACTGTAGTATATCCACTTTTCATCACCAGTCACAATACGATGTAAGAAACCTTTCCTTTTTTGTCGTTGAAGCAGCTGTTCACACGTGACAAGACGCCGTTCGACGTCTCTCGGCTTCAGTTCGTATGGCACCCAAGATCCTTCCTTTTGTATCATTCCTAATGCTGTCAGACGTTTCGAAACTGTTGTTCAATCAACTCCTAATTATTTTGCAACATCGGATTGCGTCTGACATGGATCTTCAGTAAGTAATGTTTCCAATTCTTCGTCTTAAAACTTTTTTGGTGCATCACTGCGTTCTCTATCTTGAACATCAAAATCACCATTTTTAAATCGGTTAAACCAATCTCTGCAGAGCATGATCACCATAAGTTTCTACAAGAATTCTGTGTGCTTCAGCTGCAGATTTCTTCTGAATAAAGTAGTGCAGTAAAATTCCCCGCAAAAACGGTTTATTTGGCACGAAATTTGACATGTTTTACGCTACGAAAAGAAAATGTTCTTTATAGGTTAATGGAAAGACACGCACTGATTTTAAACATAGGTTATAGAACTTCAATATAGATGCGTCATCATCTTGAATTATACACACAAAATTTTTATACCGCCATCTGATGGTGAAACGGCGAGAACTTATTCACACTCTCAATATCAATAATATAATTTTCAATGTTCCTCAAATATTGTTGCAAAAAATTGTACTTTTTATTCAATATATATTCAACATTGCAACAATATCTTCTAATCAATGTAGAAAAATGAACATATATTCTATGCAGAAAAAACACCTGCACTTCTATCTTCAACATTGCAACGTCTTATCAACGTTTTTTCAACGTTCTGTGCTATATGGGATGTCTGATCCGCAAATGAGACTGAGGGTGCGATTACATAAAGCGCGGAAACGCGGAAGACAAAATCTTACTAGATTTTCGCGTTCTGCAAATTGAATCATTTCTTCCCGTACGTTAAAAAAGCGGAAAGCCCAAAATTTTTCTCTATTGTCTTTTTATCCAAGGTACCAAAGTATAAATTCCAAAAAAATATCAGGTCCGAACGTGTTTGAATATGTCTTAATGTAACGGCGGTTGGGTTAAACAACTTGTGATAACTTGTGACAATTTGTGACAATGGATTTTTCCGCACTTGTTCCGCGACTTTATTTCTCCTTATATTACATGGAGCACAATTTGCGCGGAAAAGCGGAACGGTTTGGTGACAAATAAATATATATATTCATTTTTTTTAAATTGTATTAACTGAATTTACTGCAATTTTTATTAATATGTTTCTCTTTTCAGCTTATCTGTTGAATACAAGCATTTTAATTAATAAATACCGTTAAAAACTAATATTTTATTATTCTCCATATTGCTTTTCCGCTCAAAATATGCCTCACGTAATGTAAGACAATCAAAACAGACGCGGAACGTATAGCGGATCTAGTAAGATTTTGTCTTCCGCGTTTCCGCGTTTCATGTAATGGCACCCTGATATAACCCGCACGCGTGAAGTCGTATACGTGCGAGCAATATGAATCTCATATGAGGGCAAATCCGTTTAGTGATTTTATATTTACAATACAATTTTAAATATAAAAATGTAAAAATATTACTATTTATTATTGAAATTGATTATAGGTTTGTTGGCGTCGTATTCCTTAAAGTGCTCCTACTCGTTTCAATGCACTCTGATTGGTCCGCGTGGTGTCCACCATCGACTGGGATCCATGGGGGTGCCCTTATCACATAGTGATGAGGCTCCTGCGCCATTGGGCGCCCCCACCGACTGCGTCCCTGGATCCCGACTTTCTCAATGAGGTAGTGGAGGCTCTCTTTCCATGGGGGAAGCTTGCATTTCCCCCTATAAGAGCCCTCCTCCAGACGGGAAGAACGAGGAGGTCGGGGTCACGATGATGGGAATGGACAGAGCCGTCAGGAAGCTTGGCGTCAAGAAAAGGGCGCCGAGACCTGACGGTATCCCGGGCACAATTTGGCCTTGGCGATGAGGGTGGAGGAGGTGAAGAGTTGCATGATGCGACCTTCACCTCCTACCTGAGGACCGGGGTGTTCTCCAGTCCCTGGAAGAGAGCTAACTTGGTCCTCTTTAGAAAAGGGGACAAGGCGGAGGATAGTCCTTCCGCATAAAGGTCGATATACTTGCTAGACGAGACAGCTAAGTTATTCAAAAGAATAACACAGCCACACAAAAAAAAAATTTTTTTTTGGCCCAGAGGTCTGACTATGTTTACTGTATGTTTTTGGGGTCCCTGAATCCGAATCCAAGGTCAGATTGACCCCATCACGTCAGGATTTTGCCATAACCTCAAAAAACCCTATAATCAACGCTGTTTAGCCCTGTGACGTTGTTACTCATGCTTTAAACTAAAAAACCAATCTGTTAATCCACATAAACCCATAATCCTTCAACTC